ACTATAACTCAATAAAAAAATAAACAAAAAAAGAAAAAATAAGAAAGAATAAAGACTGCTATTTGGAGCTTTTTACTATTCACTACGTCTATCAGTTTACATGGATGACCTCACTTCATCTCCACCTGTTAGGTAGGTTTAAATTAATTTTCACAAATAAAGAAATTGAAGCTCAGGAAGTTAAATAAGTTGCCTAGAGTCACAGGGTGGAAGGAGGTAGAACCATGATTTGAACCAGGACATTTGACTTCAAAGCTCTGTCTCGGAGGCTCTACAACACACAGTCAATGACATGGCAACATTCTCAGGATGATTTTTCAAGCAGATTTTAAAAATCAGAGTAGAACAAGACTTGAGCCCAATCTACGGAGCTACATGAATCACTATAAAAATGCAAGGAGCACCTGTGAAATAATTTAGACCCTTGTCTCCTCCCACAAGATGTTCCATCAGGAGGAAAACAGGAAAGGCAATGCCCCCAGGAACAGCTGCTTTTCCTGGCTGCAGGGACAGTGACCCAGGGGTGTCCCATAGGTAAGATCCTCTGGTTCTACCTCTTGAGATTGTCCCCAGCTAAGACATACACAGAGGGACTTAGCCAACCTAGAATGCATCCACAGGTGGCAAGAAAGCAAAGGAGTTTAAATGTGTAGTTGCAAGTGCAACGCTAGGGGGAACAGGAGAGCGATCTATCCCTATCCTAAGAGTGGGGAAGAGAAAGAACAGTATCCTTTGTGATGACAGGGAGGGACCAACTGAGGACAACTGCAAGGAGACTCTTAAAGTCAAAGTAAATCAACTTCTATGCAGAGGACATGGCTGAGTCCAAAAAAAAAAAAAAATGGACCTGGGAATCAGTACATGTCTGTTTTTGGAACTCACATTGTAGTTCAGACATCTTAGGCAAACTTACTCACTCTCTTGAGCCTCAACTCCAAATTTTTAAAATGGGATCAATGGAATCATTCTGAGCACTGATGTAGACATTCTGAAGGAACCCACATAGTCCATGGTACATCATTGCTGCTTAATGAGCATCAGTTCCTTTCTCTCCTTTCTGATATTTAACAGGGCACACACTTGGATGGGTTTCCCTTGTGAGATGATAGTTCCATCACGGGGTTGAA